ACTCTGTCTCTCTCTTTCTGGGGAGTGTATGCACCCTATAGCGAAAACCTCTCCAAAAAAAACAAAAAAAAAACAAAAAACAAAAAACAACAATTATTTGTTTTTTCCTGTTATAAGGTGACGATTGGCGTGCAAGCCTGAAGGAGGCATTCACGGGCGGTCACAGACCTGAGGGAGTGTGTGACGTCAGGGAAACTCCGTACTTGGAAATCACAGCAGAGCTCGACTTAGAGGTCCATTATTTTTGTAATATCTGGAAAACAATCAGAAAGTGAGTCGCAGGAACGTTCCCTCCTGGGCCAGCAGGTGACACAGAGATTAAGGTGGCTGGATCCTGCATGGCCAACTGTGTGGCTCAAGTCCCAGACCCAGCAGCTTAAACTTGCACTGTGTGTGTGTGCCCAAGGCCCTGAGAGGAGACTGGAGGAAAAGGGGTTGGGGCATGGCCGTCCCCCAGGAGTGAGTTCTCGCCTTTCTTCTCCCGCTCTCTGGTGAAAGCATGCACCCTGTAACAAACAAAACAAACACACACACCGCTTTCCTTCTGAGATCTGATTGCTGGTTACTTACTGAATTTGACTGTATTTATGAAGCTGCAGAAAAAATCTCTGCCATTAGGGGAGCAGCATTTTCGAAGGGGGCGCATGCCACAATAAGGAGCTGAGGAATGCTCCCCGACACCTCAGCAGCTTAGAGAGGGGCCTGAATGTCACAGAGGGAAGAAACTGAGATAGAGGCTTCCACAGTTAGGGAGTCAGAAATCTTACATCCCCTTTACAGGAAACTGGCTCACATTAGGACTTAACTCTGATATGCAGAAACAGCCATGGAGGTGGCCCAAGAGCGGGAACAGCCTTACAGGTCATGGGGGTGCAGCAGAGGGTGACCCAGCGTGCCGTACTTAGACATCTGGCTGCGTGTATGTGCAGCTCACTAAGTGCAGCCTGACATAAATGCATCTCGAGCCTCCAGGACTACACTAGGTAAATGAATCGTGAGCACTGTTGTCTCAAGGCTGGGCCTTCTGCCTGTGAGTCAGGGCCCATTTTTCTAACAGTCTCTTTGAGGCTCTCTTCATGTCTTTGTTCCTCAGACTGTAGATGAGAGGGTTCAGTGCAGGGTTGATGACGGCGTAGAACAGTGAGATCACCTTATCGCCCTCCGCTGAGGACAGGGCCTTGGGCCTCATGTACATGAACATGCCTGTACCGTAGTAGACGGTCACCACAGTCAGGTGAGAGCTGCAGGTGGAGAAGGCTTTTCTCCGGCCCTCGGCCGAGCGCATCCTCGCCACTGCCACGAGGATGTGTAGGTAGGAGAGAGCGATGAGGAGGAAGGGCAGCAAGAGGGTCCCCGCCGCTCCCACCACCATCATGACCTCCTGCAGGGACGTGTCACTGCAGACCATGCGGAGAAGAACAGGCACTTCACAGAAGATGTGGTCGACGACATACGGACCACACAAGGGAGCCATGGTGACGCAGAGGGGCACCACCGAGGCAAAGAAGCTGATGGTCCAGGCACCGGCGGCCAGCTGTGCGCACACGGACCGGTTCATGATGAGGAGGTACCGCAGCGGGTGGCAGACAGCCACGTAGCGGTCCAGCGCCATGATTGCCAGAAGGATGCACTCGGCCGCCCCCATGAACAGGGAGATATAGGTCTGGGCCAGGCACAGGGTGTAGGAGATGACTTTCCTGGAGGCAAGGAGATTGAAGAGCATCTTGGGGACGACAGCCGTGGTGTAAAATATGTTGAGAAAGGCCAAATGACAGAGAAAAAAGTACATGGGTGTCTGGAGAGAAGACTCCATTACCACCAGAATGATGACTGCTGTGTTTCCAAAGAGATTCACCAGGTAAGTCAGCGAGAAGAGGAGGAAGAGGGGAACCTCCGCCTGGGGGTGGTTGGAGAAGCCAAGAAGGGCCAGCTCAGTGATGGCGCTGATGTTTTCTGGAATCATCGTCAAGTCAGCCTGAAAGCTCTGTCTGCAGAGGAGGAGCTTTGGCTGACAGGGTGTCGTGGCCAAGAGACAGCAGCCTGGACCCTTTGTCGGGACAGTGGGTCAGCGAGTCACTGGGCCAGCCTAGCTCCTTTTTGAAAACTACCTTCACATTCATGCTGAAGTTTGGAGCGCTTTCATAAATCATAGTGGAAAGCTTCTATTTAGATTCTGGAAGGCTCCACAGAAAACGCAAACACACACGGGGAGACACGCCACATGGGCAGGGCTGCCCGCCTTGGGCTGCTCTTACGAGGCCCTTGCTAATGACATAGGGCGTGATTTTAAGAAGAGAAACTGATTTTTGTTCTCATAACATATTTTCCTATTTGAGTACAGAAGCATATTACAGAACCTTTCGGAATTTGCGGAGATGATTGTGATACTAAAATGCCACGTTAGGAGTCTGACATGAAGTCGGAGAACTGTGGTGGAGGTGGGTAGATTCCAGCCAGCGGTCATTCCCACAAGCCTGCCGCTCTGTGTTTCATGCAGGGGTGGAAACCACCTGGACATGCTCACGCGTTCACGTACATGGGCCATGGTGTGTGATTAGGGACTCGGAGGAACATTTGTGCACGTGTTAACTCGAACCTATTTCTGATACACTCTCCATCAAGAAAGGTAGGGACAAGTGACTTCAGTTATTTTAATCTCCATCACTCCGCTTTTAAAGAACCAGGTCTCGGCAGCGATTTGAACTTTCTGCCTTAAATCACGGGCTATTCAGTGTTCTCCAAATAGTGTTTAGTTCATTGATTTCTTCCTGAACACAACACTGTCCTCTCCCTCATAGAGGTGCACACCCAGGCCAGCATACACCCAAATCACAGTCCGTCCCCTCCTGGTCCCTCCAAGCTGTGTGTCTTTGACTATGTAAAGCAGGGAGCCTGGCAGAGAGTCCTAGCCAGATAAAATAAACACAATCTCGGGGAGATCGTTCCATCTAAGATCCAGCAGCAGCACTCGTTACGTGGCAGCAAAGAGCTGTGCCCTCCTGCTCCGACCCTTCCCTGATGCCTTGTCAGGATCGATTCACTCAGTGCACACAGCGGTCGTAGGAGACAGGTTCTACTTTTACCCCAATAGTGCAACAAAAAATGTGATACTGAGAAGACCACAATCCCTTGTCACACCTCACAGAGGTGACACAACTGGGATTTAGGTCAAGGGAGGGCGGCCATGGCCTTAAACATGTTCCTGGTTATGAGGAACTAACACTGGTTGGGGCAGCCCCAGGGACCAAGGCAGAGTAGTCTCGTCCTCACTGTCCCCTCATCTAACGCTGATCTCTAACAGCTGCGAGCACTTAGCCACACGTACAGGCAGGCCCACTTCTAGAAACAGCCATAACATGAGAGTTTCAACCCAGCCACACGTGTGAGCTTCCTTTTCTTAGAAATAACAAAGAATATCAATAAGAAGAAGCCTCACCCTTTGGAAGAAAACTTGGAAGGACTTGTTGCAGTGGAGGTAAATTAGTCTTTCTTGAGTACATTTTGCAAAGATGATGAAAACGTTAGTCTTCCAGAGAAGGATTCAAAGCTGTAAAATGTTATTTTTCAGTCTGTCAGAATCACCATGCCTCATTAGCTCCAATTGCCGTCAGGTTGTGATGTCACCAGTCTCTACAGAGCTGCACTGAGGACAGGTGTGTTCTCACTCTCGCTGGAGTTAGCGGTGTCTGGGCGCTGTTTGCCTCTTCCTCACCTTTGAAACACCCTCATGGTTTTGTCTTCCAGTTCCAAGCCGGGATTCGAGACACGCGATGCTGAAATTGGTGCAGTCCTGGGGTGCTGCGAAGCTCAGAGGAGATCACACGGCTCTGTATTTCAAGGCATGAACAAGCGTGAAGTCCCAGCCCCTCGGGAATCTTGTCAGCCCCACCCGGAGGATCCGGTTTGTGGAATGAGGAACAGAGACCACACATAATTAGGTGGTGCTCCAATGGGAGGCTCACCTCCGACCCCAGTGGGAGTGAGTGTGACTTGAACTTCTTTGTCTATGACCTGTTTATCTCCACTACATGGAGGCTAATATTTCCCGGACTTTCTGCCTTCCTCTGAGTCCTAAGTACAGATCCTGTGCCTTCACCACATCCCAAATGGCAGGCACTGGCATTTTCTTCATTTCAAAAATAGGGAACCAGCAGTTAGCGTAATGGCTATGTCGCTGGACTCCCACGTAGTCATCCGCGGTTCGTGTCCCGGACCCGGTGGCTTAAAACTCACGCTGGGCGCGTGTGCGTGCGTACCCAAGATCCCGAGAGGAGAATGGAGGAGAAGGGATTGCAGCGTGACCATCACCCCTGGGGGGTGATTTCTCGCTTTCTGTCTCTATGTCTCTCTCTGTCTGTCTGGCGAACGCATGCGCCCTACAGTGAAAATCTCTCTCAAAAAAAAAAAAATACAGTAAAAGTCCCACTTTGCTG